TAATCATGTCCTGCCTTATTAAAACCAGTTCCAGGTCCAAAACAGGACGGGTAATCAGAAAAGCTGCCAACTTTGTGTTCGAGCAACTATCGTGTGCCTAACCCAAACCCAGCGTTTCTTTTCTTAATCAAGTACAACCCAACCCGACCAGAACCGGGCCGAACTCGTGTCTGGAGCCCAGCTCTTCCAGCTCCGGGGTAAACTGTGCTTTAAAATCCAGACAACAATAACTGCTCCTCAGACAGGAGCTGACCGCAGACCCTGCGCCATCTTAGAAACACATTTGTTTCCCCTTTTCTTCAACAAAGAGCCGGTCCAGCAGAACCAGGTCCGGAACATCCGAAGAACGCGTCTCAAAGCAACACTTTGCGGTTTACAATGAAAGGACACTTACCAGCATTTTGGTGTATTCCTGTCCCGAAAAGTAGGACGAGCAGAAGGCATTGTACTACACCCATCATGCCTACGGACCAGACTGAGACCTCGACTGCTGCTAACTTCTCCGCGAGCACGGAGTAAGAGCCCTGATTGGCTGGCAGCTCGTCACGTCCCGCCTCTTCGGCGCCTGGTCTCGCAACGAAGCACTCTGATTGGCTGTCAGACTTGTCACGTGCCGCCGCCCCTTATAAAATTACACCACCCCCTGTAAACAAACCCTTGTCTTTCGCCATAACGTAATAATAATAATAATAATATACCGTTGATCTAATTAACTATGTTTGATAATTTTTGTTGTATTTTTTTTTTTTCAATAAGAATTTTTCTGTCTGAATACGTTGAGCTATTTCAACCATTCATAAAACAAAATGTTCAGTTCAGGGACGGGTGCTGCTACACTTGTGGATTTTTATAACTTTTATATATTTCAAAACATTTTACTTTATTTACAAATATTTTACTTTAAAATTAAATTAAGAATTTGTAAATTTCTACAAAGACATCGCTTCTTTCACATCGTCAGTACACTTGCTCTATTTTTGTCTTCTTACACTATTTTTAGCCTTTAGCTACTATTCTGCTAGTTTTAGCTAGCCGTTGCTACTTCTAGCTTCTTACAAAGCATTCGGTCAAATCATGTTCAGTTGATGGAGTGGACCTGACTGAAGATGGCCTCACAGTTAATTAACGTTATCAAACACAACACTGACAGTTTTACTGACACTGAGCTAAAGTTTGGTGTGGTAGTAGCTGAGAGTCATCCTCAGCACACACTCTGGGTTAACTGACTGGGCAGGGAATTACTTTTAAACGTTGCCAATAAGTACTGGGGTCAAGCTTGAATGAATTTTATTGAAACTTGTCGGTGGATGGACGTGGACCGTTACCTTTTGGAGTCACCCAAATTCAAGATGGCTTCCACCGCTAATCAATATGAGCTGACTCAAAACTGCTATAACTTGGTCAGTTTTACAGATGTGAAGCTAAAATGGAACGTGTTAGCAGGTGAGAGGTAAAAAAATTACTTTAGAGCTCAGATTATTGCATGAGATTATTCATAACTTTACTTTCAGGGTTTGACCAAAACTGCCTAATCATCATTAATAATCATTGTTAATAATCATCGTTAATAATCATCGTTAATAATCATAGTTAATAATGATCGTTTCTCACATCATGGAGATTTGACCTAGAAGGTGGCAGGCGATGAGCTTTTCTTCAAGGACCTTCAGTCAGATGTTTTGATGAGCACCTATCAGTAGTTTAGGATGGAACAGATTATTTCTGTGAATCCGACCTGATTTCAACCAGAAGCTGCAGTAAATGTTTGACCCAGTGAAGGGAGAGATAATTAACTGTTTTATACGTCTTCCAGGGCCAAGGGTGCAACAAAAGCCTCCTTCAGAGGCAGAGCAACATGTTTTTATTAGATAGAAAGAAAATGTCACAGTGGTTCTGACATTATCATTCGAATAACACGAAGAACCTGCCGCCACTCTCCAAGATAAGATCCAGTCAATGACATGCTGTGGCTAGACCCGGAGCCTCGTGCCTCACTCCACTGCAGCGCTCCATACATCTGTCCTCGGGCTCATCGGCACGCCGTGCACGCCTGGAGGACACAAACAGACACGTGTAGCTGGCCTGAGTCCAATCCAGTTTGAATCCCATCAAGTTTGAACGTTATTCACGTTTGCTATGATTGAACGTGTTCAAAAAGGATCTTTAAACATCACTTCATAAAATAATCCTTAATTAACTTCAGTTTTAAAGTATCCTGATGCATGCTCAATAATCCAGGTAGAAAAATCTGAAAAAAGTTCAATCTGGTCCTCTGGACATTCAAAAAACAAAACAATAAAAAAAATGTAGAAACGTTTCGTCTTTCATCCGAAGGACTTCCTCAGCCTGAGGTTCTGTCAGCATATACGACGAAACATTTCTATGTTTTTTGTTGTTGTTTTGTTTTTTTGAATGTCCAGAGGACCAGATTGAACTTTTTTAGATTCAATTTTAAAGCTTTTTTTAAATCCTAAATCTATTTTCCAACTCGTCGCATCCATCCCATCATTTAAAGCGAAGCACAGAACAATGTTTCATTTGAACACAAAGCTTTTATAAGCAAACTCTGACGAATCATAATTCCTCATGTGTCTAATTGTTTTTTATATGGTGAGATTCTGGCAACCACAGCTGCCGGTATTTTACCGTAAATTTGAACTTTGCAATAAAATACCGTAATATATCGTACAGTTTTGCTGGTTTTTACTGAAATAGATTAGATTGTAATTATGTTCACAGTACACGTGTTATTCTTAAGAATGTACTGAAATCAGTTTTGTATTTTAACTGTTATTTTTACAACAATTTGTAGTAAAAAGTTTGACAGTTTATCTGTTTTCCAATAGTAATTTTCTATAAATAAATAACAGTTCTCTACTGTGAAAGTGACGGTTGACAAAATGTCATTCTGTAACGTGTCACACACTGTGACCGTATTTTATATGGTGAAATTCTGGCAACCACAGCTGCCGGTATTTTACCAGAAATTATAGAAAATGAATTTAGTGTTCTGCTGAAAGTTTCTGGATCAAAATAATTGAAACTCAGAAGACTTGAAGTCTGGACGCTCAACCACGACATCATTTCCTCTTCAACCTGTTCACGACTTCACCTTAATTCTTCTTGTAGTTTTCTGTAATTGCAGTGGTGAACTGTGACCGTAAGAACCAGGACTTCCATTATGTCAAATTGTAACATCTTGTTAAGATCTAGTGTCTTCAAAGACACCAGAGTCACGGTTCATTGCATCACTTAACTTTCAGTTTCACCCTCAGCCACTCACTGACAGGGAGTGCTTCTCCTCTTTCTATACATCAGGTCCAACGTCTGACTCATGTCATTTATTACAGTGTAACGACAGCCTGAACATAAACACCAACCCAACACTAAGAACCAACAGGGACGACCCGTCTGAACACAGCCTGAAAAAGTCCTCCCAGTTCTGTCCCAACATTATTGAGCAGCCCCTGTGGCTCAACCAGCCTCCTGCGTTCAAGCACAACATGGAAGTTCAATAAATTGAACAGTAACCCACAGAACTTACTGTTTCTGTCAAATTTCTTAAAGGAATAAACCAAATCACAACTGTAATATTGAAAATTATCAATGCAAACCTAAATTTGACATTTTAGCTTCATTATTCAAAACAACTACGGTACAATTTCTGTGTGGGTTCATTTAATTTACATGTTGCAAGTGAATGCATCACAAATGCTGTCAATTATTGGCCAAACTCATCCTGCAGAGACTCTGACTGAGCTCAGCATCATTCTGTCCGGACAGTGACGAAGCACTCCTGAGACTCCTGACAGCCAGCGAGAAAGAACCTTTAAACCAGTGGTTCTCAAACTGGGGTCCCCGGACCCCTGGTGGTCCGCGAACGGATGCTTAGGGCCACCCCCCCCCCACCAAGAAAAGG